GGAACATCAGGCCAACCACCAAATGGCGGCCAAAAGTGTCAGCAATATGGTGACACGATTTGAAAGTAGAGTGGAGGCTTCCCAACGCCAAGTCGCTTGGGAAATCAACAAAAATATGGAGCCATTGGTGGCTTCATCCCACATGACTAATACTCAGCTCCAACAGCTGAATGAGGTGATTAATGCCTTAGTGACTCGTATTGATAGGCAGGTTATTGCTCAGCCGCCTAGGTTAGAAAACCAAAATGATAGGCCCGTGGACCAGTTTCATCCTCAACAAGTTGGTCAACCAAAAAGAGGTACCCAGCCACATCCCATGGTTAATGGTCCTCGACCAGTAGCTCCAATTCCACCACAAGTCCATCCAGTAGAGCAAGGAGTGAATGGTCACCAACAACCAAGATGGAGGAATCATGACCAACCTAATGGTCGACCTCCTCATTTTTAACCTCAAGTCTTGCCACCTCAGCCTGCGAACCCAGGGGGGCAAAAGGGACATAACCCTTGGCCCAATGTTCCTTTTCAGAACCAAGTCCCACATATGGTCATGACTAGGGAGCAATTGGCTGAGGTCATACAAGAACAGTATGGACCAGCTTTAAAAAGGGCTACTCGACCTACTTTTAGGCACCCATTTCCTGACTGGATAGATCGGATGGATCTTCCCCAAAATTTTCGGGTGCCAAACTTTGTAACCTTCTCAGGAGAAGGCAACCAATCGACTCTTGAGCACATTGGCCATTTCACATTAAAATGTGGGCCACTCAATAACAACGATTGGTATAAAATGAAGCTATTCTCTAACACCCTCACTGAGACTGCCTTCAAGTGGTATCTAAACTTGCCACCAAATTCCATCCACACTTGGCAACAGATGCAGGATGTGTTCCATGATCAGTTCTATAGGACAGAACCAGAAGTCTCTATGTCCGACCTATCTAGGATCCATCAGTTGCCAAATGAGGATGTTGAGACATTTTTGGCTAGGTTTAAGAAGGCACGAAATAAGTGCCAACTTACTTTGCCTGAAGAAGAGTTTGTCAACTTGGCCCTTAGCGGTTTAGACTTTGAATTACGAAAGAAGTTCGAGGGTACTCATTTTGAAGATTTATTCCAATTAGCCGATAGGGTTACCAAGTATGAAAAAATCTTACGAGAGGAAAAACTCCTCTCGGGGGACCTATTATAAGGACCCTAATTATGAAATACACATGGTTGATACATTATACGATGACCTAGAGGTCGATGCTGTTGAAATTATTTCAAAAAAATCATATGTATGTAAAGCTTTAGCTAAGCTCTTAGAGACTGTTAGCGGTGTTCAACCCTCATCATCTTCAGCCAAAAGGAATATCTTTGAGGCTGGCAAACAATATGCTTTCGATATAAGTAAAGCAGAGCAAATCTTTGACCATCTGTTGTCTGATAAAATTATCAAAGTCACTGGGGTACATAAAATACCTTCAGTTGACGAAATCAAGGGTCGAGAGTATTGCAAATATCATAACTCCTGGAATCACGCAACTAATAATTTTGTTGTCTTTCGTAATGTGATTCAGGCACAGATCGAGAAGGGGGCATGGAAGTTCCTAGAGAAGAAGAAAGAGGTGATGAGCGTTGACAGCGATCCATTCCCAGCCTTGGTCAGCAGTAACATGGTCGAAATCTCAATGGCCAGCAGGCCACGGAGAAGAATTGATTTTGAGGATACTTCAGCTAACAGAGAAAGCAAGGCTGAAGGAAAGAAGCCAATGGTTAAGGAAACTCCAAGGTCTAAGGATGACTTAGAAAAGGAGTTGCGAGAGGCTCAACTGGCGCTGATCAAGCAAGGATTATGCCCTAAATGCAAGACAGACATTGGAAGGGACCGAGAGAGGTTCCACAGCGACACTCGGGGACGTCCTGGAAGTTCACGTCATGAAAACAGACCTAGGTCACCCTCGTCTAGGGTGTCTGTGACAAGTCGATTAACATGGCCTGATAGAAGGTCTAATACCAATGAGCATCACAAGCGAATGCGAGAAGTGAACTCCAACAATCAGTCAAGGAATCTTACTCATGCTGTCTGGAAGCCTAGGGAGTATAACTCAAATGTGGCTCGCCAGGTTGAGACATCAGTTAACCACCCAAACCATAGGCAAATGATGGTCAAGCCACCAGTCACTGACGATGGTCGATGGTCAAGGGTGAGTCATCCAAAGTTCTCTAGGGTCAAGGATATCCTGCCAGCATTCATGACTCACACTCAAGTAAGACGGTGGCAGCGGATGAAAACTGAGTTAAAGAGAATGGAAGAGCAATATTCAGCTCCACAGCCAGAGAAGGTGACTTTGCTTAGGAGAGAACCTATCAAGCAAGATTCAAAAAGTGATTCGAAAGGAAAATCCAAGGAAGATAGTGTAGACGGAAATGGATGCACTGAAGAGAAATGTGCGTCTTCCTTCATGAAAGAAGCTGAAGATGAAGCAGGATTTGGTGATGATGAACTCGACCTGAATGACCAGGATGATGGTTCAAAGGGTATCAAATTTGGTTAATTTGAAGGAATTGTGAATTGCAATATGGTTCTTACCTTGCCTCATATTTTTTAGGCTAAGCCTGATCAACCCTCCGCCATGGAAGGAGACGTCGAGGTGATCGATGATGAAGGTCAGGATGTTCCGGAGATTATTGAGAACCCATCTGAGTCGATCACTAAAGATAAGAAACAGAAAGTCGCTGTGATAAGAGCTAAACCACGAGATGATAAGTCAGTGATTATTGGGAGAGATCAGGCGACTAGGGTGATTTTTGAGAAGCCTTCTGCGGCAATGTCTCAACACTTGAAACCACTCTATATCAGAGTGTTCCTAGAAGGGATGCCAGTGTCTCGGGCACTGATAGATAATGGATCTGCGGTTAATATCTTTCCGATGAACACCATGAGGTTGCTGTAAAAAACGGAAGATGACTTGATTCCCACTGACTTGACAGTCAGTAATTTCACTGGGGGCAGAGCCAGGACCAGAGGGGTGGTCACCTTGGAAATGACAGTTGGAAAATGTAAGACCATGACTGCATTCTTCGTGGTTGACGCAGGGGCGGCTTACAACGCTTTGATTGGGCGTGATTGGTTACACCCACATTTCTGCATCCTTTCTACCCTCCACCAGTTTATGATTTTCTGGGATGGGGATGAAATCCAAGTCATATGGGGAGACAATAAGCCTTTCGAAGCTCGGGTCCATGTGGCTGATGCAGTTTTATATGAGGATGAAATGGGTCCTATGAGGCTCATTGGTTGTGACAAGAATGGCAAGCCTGAGAAGGCGACGATAAGGAAAAATCTGACAGACGGGGACTTATCCGATTTATTCAAGGAACTATCGAGGCCAAGTGTTATCTGCGAGCCAATGCTGATAGTTGAAGTTGATGAACAACAGTTTGTTAATGGACCAAGCCCAAAAGGAGAATGAGAAAATGCTAGCATTTAAAGCTAGCATGGCACGGCTGAGAGCATATCTCACCGAAAGACGGGCAATGTTGTGGAGTGATATGTCGGCCAATATGGCCGAAATCATAGAAGAAGATGAGTCAGGGGATTGTCGAGATGTTATTCAGTTAGAAGAACTAGATGCAGCTCTAGCCAAGCTAGAGGATCTGAAGGCCGATGTTCAGGATCCCTTGTTGGAGATCAATTTGGGAGCAGAAGAATAGCCTCGGCCAACCTACATAAGTGATCTTCTAGAACCTGACTTTAAAGCTGAACTGATCTTGTTGCTTAGAGAATATAAGGATTGTTTTGCTTGGAATTACACTGAGATGCCGAGATTACCAAGGCAACTAGAAGAGCATCGATTACCTATAAAAGAAGGTTTTAGACCGTTCAAGCAAGCGCCTAGACGTATGTCAACAGAAGTGACTATGAAAGTGAAGGAGGAAATTGAGAGGTTGCTCAAAGCAGGATTCATCCAGACCACAAGGTATTGCGATTGGCTATCCAATATCGTTCCCGTGGTTAAGAAGAATGGAAAGATTAAGGTGTGCGTAGACTTCAGGAATTTAAATTTAGCTACTCCAAAAGATGAGTATCCAATGCACATGGCCGATCAATTGATTGATGCGGCCGCCAAGAATGAGATTCTGTCATTTATGGACGGTCACTCAGGATACAACCAGATATTTATAGCAGAGGATGATGTTAACAAAACGGCATTTAGATGTCCGGAGCCATAGGCACTTTCGAATGGGTGGTGATGCCCTTTGGTTTGAAGAATGCCGGAGCCACTTATCAACGAGCTATGAATGCAATCTTCCATAACATAATTGGGAAATTTATAGCAGTATACATTGACGACGTGGTGGTGAAATCAGCGACAAAGGCGAAGCATCTGGCAGACTTGAAGAGATCATTTGAGAGAATGAGAGCCCATGGTTTTAAGATGAACCCACTTAAATGCGCCTTTGGAGTGACAGCAGGGAACTTTCTAGGGTTCTTGGTGCATTGGAAGGGTATTGAGGTCGACAAGAATAAAGCTAGGGCGATCATCGAAGCTCAACCACCTCACAACAAGAAGGAGTTACAAAGACTGATTGGTCAAATCACATACTTGGGAAGGTTTATTTCAAACCGTGCTGGGAAGATCCATACCTTTTCTCCGCTCTTAAAGCTCAAATCAGAGGAAGACTTTCGATGGGAAAAACATCACCAACATGTGTTCGAATCAATCAAGGAATATCTTGCTAACCCTCTTGTCCTCATGCCACCTAGGAAGAAACAGCCGCTGAAGTTATATATTTCAGCCGCGGATGAGTCAATCGGAAGTTTGTTAGCCTAAGATAATGAAGTAGGGAAAGAACAGGCAGTGTATTACCTTAGCCGTATTTTGACACCGGTTGAGCGTCGATATACGCCAATCGAAAAAATGTGTCTTGCTTTGTATTTTGCTGCTCACAAATTGAGAATATATATGCTACCTGTTTTAGTTTATGTGATTTGTGCCACTGACTTAATTAAGTATATGTTTTCTGGTCCAATAATTTCTGGACGAATAGGCAAGTGGTCTTTGGCCTTTATGGAATTCAGTTTCCAATATGTGCCTCAAAGGGCTGTAAAGGGCCAATCACTTGCTGATTTCCTAGCTGACCATCCATGCTTGGATGTTGATTCGGGAGTCTATGATGCAATGGAGTTATGTGCTATTCAACTAACTCCTTGGACTCTAATCTTTGACGGATCAAGCGCAAATGATTTCGGGGGAGCTGGAGTTGTAATAATTGCACCAAATGGCAGGAAAACAGCATATTCTTTCTTTCTAGATTTCAAATGTTCTAACAATCAAGCAGAATATGAAGCTCTGATTATTGGTCTTGAAATACTCTTAGAGATGGGGGCACAGACCGTTGAAATCATAGGTGATTCAAGTCTAGTGATCGGTCAGTTGTCCAGCAATTTCAGGTGCCAAAGTTGGCACCTCAAACCATTTCACTCTATAGCCATGCAATTACTACAAGAATTTGTAGATGTAAAGGTCAAGCATGTTTATAGATCACATAATAAAGAGGCCAATGATTTGGCTCAAATAGCATCTGGCGTTAGGGTACCAGAAGGAATAATGGAGAATTTGATCAGAATAAAGAGAAGATCATTACCTTCAGTCAAGGTGAGGGAAGAATTGTTGGCAGAGGTCTTTACAATCGAGGTGGAGGAGGATATAGATGAGAATGATTGGAGAACACCAATCATTAATTTTCTCAAAAATCCAGACCCTAAGGCTGACAGGAAGCTAAAGATCAAAGCTCTTAAGTTTATGATGATTGATGGAGACCTATTCAGGAAAAGCATCAAAGATGACCTACTCTTAAGGTGTGTCAGTAAGAAAGAAGCCATGAAAGTAATGGGAGAGACCCATGAAGGGATATGTGGTGCTTACCAAGCTGGAATAAAAATGAAGTGGCTGATTAGAAGTTACGCTTATTACTGGCCCGGGATGCTTAAAGATTGTATCACATTCGCCAAAGGATGTCAAGCATGTCAAAGGCATGGGCCAATCCATAGAGCCCCGGCGATTGAATTACAACCAATCATAAAACCATGGCCTTTTAGAGGCTGGGCTATGGATTTGATAGGGAAAGTTTATCCACCTTCTTCTAAAACATTATTTTATCATTGTGGCAACTGATTACTTTACCAAGTGGGTCGAAGCGGTGCCCATGAAGTCAGTGCACCAAGAAGATGCGATTCGGTTTATCAAATAACATATTATTCATAGATTTGGGATCCCAGAATCAATCACAACTGATCGAGGTTCAGCCCTTGTTGCCAAAGAAGTGCAGGCATTTGCAGCAGAGTACAGGATCAAGCTCCTAAACTCAACCCCTCACTTTGCACAAGGAAATGGTCAAGCCGAGTCGTCTAATAAGATGCTAAAAGGCATCATTGAAAAAATGGTGGAAGATAACCCTATGGTGTGGCATGAACAATTATCAGAAACACTTTGGGCATATAGGACTTCTCAACGATCAAGCACAGGCGTGACTCCATTCATGCTCACCTATGGTCATGCTGCAGTTTTGCCTATGGAAGTGACTGTGCGGTCAATGAGATTCGCATTGCAAAACAATTTGACCCCTGCTGAATATAATGAGTCTATGTTGATCGAATTGGAGGACCTAGACGAAGTAAGGTTAAGGGCTCTTGACCACATACAAGTTCAGAAAAGGCGAGTAGCAAGGGCATATAACAAGTGTGTTAGGGCCAAAATCTTCGGTGAAGGTGACTTGGTTTGGAAGACTGTCCTCCCAATGGGTGTGAATGATCGAAAATATGGAAAATGGTCACCAAATTGGGAAGGTCCATTTATGGTTTACAAAGTCTTAAAAGAAGGCGCATATCATTTGCAAGATCTTGACGGGGAAATACACCTTCGGCCGATTAATGGCCGATACTTAAAAACTTATTATCCTACAATATGGGAGACAATGGAGAATAAAACCAAAGATGGTTAAATAACCAGAAGCCATAGAGACGTGCATTTCATTCATTGTTTTCATTGAGTACAAAAGTTTATAAGAGTCATTACCTATCAATTTCTTTGTAGATAAACAAAATGACTCCTGAGCTCATCCCACTCTTTCTTAGACATGGCTACTTTTTCATCCTCTTTGGCCTTCTCAGTCCTCAGTCGAGGAATTTCTTTTGAGACCGATTTTCTCTGCTGATCAATTTCCACATTCTTTTGATAAATCTCCTTCATCTGAACAGTGAGTCCTTCTCTTGATTGGGTAGTTCCAGTCAATTCCATCTTGAGACGTTCTATCTCCCGTTCGATCTCTGCTGCTCTCTGGTTTTCCTTAACATGAGTTGATTTTAAGGTCCGAAAATGGGAAACATTGTCTTTCTCTTGTTGAAGCAAAGATTCTTGCTCCTGTAGCTTTTTATGGATCGTAGACGACAACTCACCAGCCTTTTGAGAGGAGAGCTGAAAATCAGAGATGAGAGTCGGGAATCGACTCTGGACAGATTGAAGATGGTTTATCTGTTCTTGACTTAAGTCATAATGATCTATTAAGACAGACATGGCATCGGTCACATCAGCAGCCAAACTTGGCATCTCAGAGAGGTCTCGGGACACGACGGCGACTAGTAATCTTTTTGCCCCCTCAATATCTGGCGGACGACTGGAAGATGTAGGCACAACAACTGGCTCGCTCATCAAGGGTTCTAGATCAAACCCAGCCGCTATCTCGGAAAAGTAGGCATCAAAGTCATCGATCGTGCTATAAGTTTGAAGGGGCGGTTGGGACTAAGAATTTGAGTCAGCCCGTGAATGAAAGGAATTTAGTAAAACAAGTCAAGGCTTGAATGAGAGAATAAGTCATAAATACTCACACCAACTGGTGAGGGCCGAGTCACATGGCCAAAGGTGCGTCTGGGAGCAGACGCTGGTGCAGAGTAAGGGTTTGGAACTCTTGGTTGTGTGCCCGGGACAACCTGCAAGAGAAGAATGTTTCTGAATGCTTAACTTTGATAAAGATATACGGGAGATGTACTGAAAGATCATCTTGAAAATCACCTCAGCCCCATCAAATTGATGAAAGACAGTGTTTGGTTGAATGGTGGCTTGTTGACACTCGACTCCACTAGTGCGAGGGTGATCAGCATTCGCAATGTCATCATAAGTGTTGATCCTATCTCTCGACAACGACCTAGCCGAGTGTGAAGAAACCTGTCCATAAAGATGCCTTTAGAATCGGCAAGGTACATTGATACTGGAAGTAAAAAATAAAGCCTAGTTACCTCACGGCTGGTAGAGATATTTGTCTCGACTGAGAAAGTCGATGGCATCAAGGGGTAAGGATTTTCTTCCTCCTCTTCATCGATCAGAGGTAAAGGGTTGGTGGTCTTGACTGAGGTAACCTGTTTTTTTCCTTTCCCTGCCCTGATCACCTGGAATACCATTGAGGTTAAAAAAAGGGTATATAGGTGGTACATATAAGTAAGCTAAAGTTCTAAGAGATTATGCGTTGAAGAATTCATAAGGAAAACCTTAGGCCTCTTGGGGGGCGCCACGTTTTCCTCGTCAGCCTCAGACATTTCCGCCTCATGATCAGAAACTCCCAATGGGTCATAGAAGGCAACAGCTACATAAAGGAAAAGATGTTTTTATGATCTAAGGCATAAAACTTGGTATTTATATATATGTAAGTATGAGTGTGTACCTTCTTTGGACGACTTTGATTTTTTCGTCCTGCTGGGAGAACCAGGATTAGCCACACTGATCCCTTTTGATGGCTTGGTCAAGGCTCCTTGGGGTTTAATAAAAATGGAGGCAATCCTATTTGTTATAGCACGAGAATCCTCCACCATAACCTCTGCAATATGGTTTCCCCACTAGTAGTCAAAGGATGGAGAAGTATCAAGATTTTCCAAAAATGGCTGCAAAGAGAACTTATTACAGAGACGGTTAAACCAAGAGGATACTCTATCCACCGTTTCTTTTGAGGTGAAGACTACTCGTTCCAAGAAAGAGGTATTGAAAGATCGAAAAGGCGGAAGTGGAACGAGTTGGGTGAGACCAAATTGTCTAGCAAATTGTGGGGGATTGTAATACTCTACCCCACACTTACTATTTGGAGAGCCCATTCTTGAACATCCATAAGAGATGTCCCTAGCAATCAAGAAATTGGCCCAGGTTTGTGTATGTTCGTCTTGGCAACTCAGTGGAGCCTAGGCAGGGGGATAGGAAAGCCACAAAGGTCGCCTCGGTCTAGGCGAGAATGGCAAGAAAAGATGACTGGCTCGGTATACAGGGAGTTTGTAAAAGAAAGAGAACATGGTTTTGAACGATCTTTTTCCTGGTTGAATACGTGTATAATGATAGCCGGGGACAGGAACAGCGGTCGACAAGTCGAGATCGGGGTAAAGTTCAGGGAAATATGCGTATTCCCAAAGTTGTAACAGCCAGAATGGCCCAAAACAGGTTTTGAAGTTGGAAGCAACATATTCCCCGATGCCACGGTAAAGATAAGAAAGCAAAAAAGGAGCGAGAGCAAGTTTCTCGCCCGAGTGAAGAGCAAGGGCCAATTGAGTAAATTCCTTGGTGACTGTGAGCGAAGAAACACAAAATAAGAACCTGTTCAGCCAGTACACCAAGAAAGAAATATGCTCGGCGATGGAAACTGAAGTTCATTTACCCTTGCTGGCTTTAATAAAAGGGCCATGGGTAGTAATGCGCTCAGAAGCGTCAGGTTTCTTTGGATATTCATAAGCTACTTCAGGAACGGTGAGAAGTGAATTTATTTCGGTATCGTGAGGCCTAAGCCCGGTAAGAAAACAGATATCTTGCACCGTCGGGCCAATCATACCACACCGAAGATGAAAGGCATTGGTAGAACTCGACCAGAAAAGGAGTAATGAAACGAAAGCCTCCTTATCGATAGAGATTCGATTTTTTGAAAGAATGATGGCATCGTAAATGCCGACCTCCTTCCATAATGCTCCGTAGTGAGGTTCGACCCGATCGACCCAATCAATCCAGTCATTCTGAGGGATCGGGCAATTTCTGAAAAGGTTGGAAGAATCCACAGGATTAGAGAACTCGCGCTGAAATGGGAGTTGCTCCTCAGCTAAGGGACAGTAGGGAAGAAGTGAGGTTGGTGGACTATCTCTGAAGGCTGGAGCAAGGCCGATTCTAGGTGAGGAGTCAGCACCTAGGACATTGGCTAACACTTCACTAGTACTAGAAATATCTGTAGCGATGATCTCGTTAACGAGTTTTTGAACAATCCCGGCCTGACTGGAAGATTTGTTACTGGCCGGAATTGACATATTCTCAGCAACGATCGTTACGATTTTATTACCACCCATTGGCTGAGATCCTGAGGAAAAGAAGATAAAGCTAAATTAGAAAAGAACCAGTGAGAGGGATAGTGGAGACCAAAAATTTTTAGCTTCACTAACAAAGAGGAAAATTCACTTCAAAATAATCACTGGTTGATTGGTCGGAGCCGACGTATTTATGATGGCAATTGTTGAATTTCTTTTGACACCCTTGAAATCCGGTGAGAGGAAGATGCGCAGTGGAGAAGAGCTAACAAGTGGTGATAAGCTAAAATTCTGAAAATAAAGCGGTGTTCTCTACGATGGATTAAACGTGCGCTCTATATGCTTCTTGATTGTGGGACAAGATGAGCTAGCATTTTGCCATGGAGTTTTTTGTTTGAAAAGACATACAACTATTAGGAAAATTTCGCAGAGATGTTCTGCAATTTTTGTGGCAAAGCTACAGAGGGTTTTGTTGGATATGGTGTTGACAATGCTTGGTAGAGTCAAGTGTTATATATATAGAGCAATTAGCTTGATTTAGCTGGCGAGATGTTATACCCAGTGAAAACGCCACAGGGTTATAAATGTACTTGGAGCCGCCTAAAAACAGGCTAGCTTAAAATCCAAGGACATATAAAGAGTAAATTCGGGTATTGGAAATCAACGTGTCAGCAAATGAGATTTGTTATACATCCTTAACCATAGGGTAATGTGTTCTTCATTTGAGTGCAACCCGTGTCTGTTGACATGTTATTGAGCACATGGTTTTGGGGTTTGTTTCTCTCTTGTCTTGTCAATTTAAATTGCAGATAAAGGCGTATATTGAGCTCCAAACCCATTTGTTTTGACAAGACATCAAGACTCATTTTGGTATACGAAATACTGTTCATTACACACTTTGCATAACAATAAAGTGGCTGTGCTTTGTACAGAGCTAATATATATATTAGTATTCGCACATGTTTATATTTATAAGGGACCACAGTTGGTTGAGGCAAACCAACCATGTCTGCATTGGTTGCGTGTTGTACATGACTATATCTAAAATGATATGCATTGAGCTCCAAAACAGCCAGCATTCAAGATGAAACAACAGGGTTCATTCACGTGCTAAATTAAGCATATGTCAGTACCTATTTTGACTTACAACTTAATTTAAGCTATGGCTCAATACCCATTAAAAAAAAAAAAAAGGGGTTGCATGATATGTGTTGTATGATGTATAAGTAAATATATTTATATTCATATATGCATGTCTCTACAAGTTAGCTAGAGAGAGAAACATACTTTCAGAGAGAGGAAGCTCAGTGCAAGCTCTTCCCTTCCAGAGAGGAATAGAAGAGATTGAGAGCCAGAACTGGTACGGCGTCCACTGCGACCCGACGGCCGGCCTTCTCACCGTTTTAACCTTCCGAGGTGAGTCCGAAGACCCGATATTTGAAAAAGCTGGCCGGTTTGGCTTCACGACCGTTTCACTCTCGCCGTTACTCTGCCAACTCAACGTTCCCGACCGCTCTCATCGTCACCATCCTCTTTTTCTACGTCGCCGTGGCCATCATCGTCGGCTACAAGAAGCGGAGCGGCCCATGCGACGGCGTCAGTTTCCTTGGCATCTCCTGGGTCTTCAGCGGCATGACCTTTATCCGTCGAAGAGAATGACGGTTTGTGCTTGCAATGAAGC